CCAGCTGTCCTGGAACTCACTATGTAGACCAGGCTGGCCTCAAATTCACAGGGATTTGCCTGCCTCTGCCTCCCAAGTGCTGGGATTAAAGGCGTGTACCACCATGCCCGGCTCATTTTTACTTTATGTGCATGAGTGTTTTGCCTGCATGTATATAAGTGTACTTGTGTTGCACAGTGCCTGTGGAGGCCAGAGAGGGCATGGGAGCCCCTGGAACTTGAGTCAAGGATGTTTGATAGCAGCCATGTGAGTGCTGGGAACCAAACCTGGGTCCTCTGCAAGAACAATCAGTGTTGAACCATTGCTGCCCCCAGATTTTTACTTTATGTGCATGAGTGTTTTGCCTGCATGTATATAAGTGTACTTGTGTTGCACAGTGCCTGTGGAGGCCAGAGAGGGCATGGGAGCCCCTGGAACTTGAGTCAAGGATGTTTGATAGCAGCCATGTGAGTGCTGGGAACCAAACCTGGGTCCTCTGCAAGAACAATCAGTGTTGAACCATTGCTGCCCCCAGAAACTTGTTTTTAACACTCTGTGTGTGTGTGTGTGTGTGTGTGTGTGTGTGAGAGAGAGAGAGAGAGAGAGAGAGAGAGAGAGAGAGAGAGAGAACAAACAGCACAGAGGCATTGGATTCCTTACAGATAGTTGTGAGCTACCTGATGTGGGAACTGAGCTCAGATCCTCTAGAAGAGCAGTATGTGCTCTTACCCACTGAGCCATCTTTCCAGCCCTTCTGGTCATTTTTAAGACAGGCCTGAATTTGGGTAGAAGGGACTGTTGTGCTATGGCTGCTGGGGTGCCCCAGCCTTGCCATCCCCCATGTTGCTGTCATTTATTGGCCTTGACTAGGTCAGAACACTGTTCAGAGCTTCCCGTGAGCAAGCCCCTGTGAGGGAGGTGTTCTTGTGTCCGACTGACAGAACTCCCTTAACCTGCCCACAGTCGGTGGAAAGGGAGTAGAGCAGCTGGCCAGGCAGCATGGGCTGCGTCAGAAACTGGAACCCTACTTCCCAGGGCCCCTGACAAGCCAACCAGGATAGTGACAGCTGGCCCTTCCATTACAAAGCTCCTTATCATCACATCCTTGTGACCTGCAGAAGCAGTGGGTGCTGTGCCTAGCCCACTGCACAGGCATGGCTTACAGGCTGAGGTTGGCAAGTGGGAACCTCCTGGGGGCACACATCCAGAAGTTGCTGTAGCTGGGAACTTGGCTCCTTCCTCTCTCAGGGTGCAAAGACCAGAGGGCCGTGCTGTGTGAGCAGTAGGCCCATCAGTGTGGGGTGGCTGTCAGCTCTGCCCAGGCCCAGGCAGTGCCCCCAGAGCTGGACAGGGCCTCTGAGGAAGGACAGGTCAGAGGGCAGGGTCATTGTGCTAGAGCTCTGCAGCTAGCTGCTGCCCTTGCCTGTATTGTTTCCAGATTATGGGACTGGAAGGGTTTGTTAACAGTTGCTGTGTAGAGTGTGTGTGTGTGTGTGTGTGTACACATATCCCTGGCTATGCCTCACAGTCAGCAAGGCAGATGGAGAGGGGCTCTGAGCACAGATTGCTTAGTGTCTAGGCCAGGATTATCCTACTGCCCCCACCTGTCGCCACGTGTGTGGCCAACAAGACCCACTGTGAGCTGCCCCCCCCTTCCTCTTAACCTTGGCTCTGCCTGAGCAGCTGTGACTTGTCTCTGCCCTTGTCTCTAGTCCCTGCCCCTTGGCCTCCTTGGCTCTCACTCTGGGGATTTGTTTTCTGGGAAGCTTAAGTGGCTCCCTTCACTTTGGAAACTCCCACAACACCACTTGGACCTCATGGGGGAAGAGCAGCCTTGAACTGTATCCCTGTTGGCCTAGGCCCTGGCCCTGAGTTCCCAGGTGTATGTGCTGGAGCCCACAGAGCTCAAGAGTCTCTAGCTGCCTCCTGGGAAGCGCTTCCTGGGCCATGACTTCCAACTTTGACTAGGTCTTCATCTCCACCTTGGATCCCACTGGCTTAGCTAGTCAGGGTTCAGCAGTCTTCCATCTTGTAGGTACGTAGGTCTTCCAGGCTAACTCTGCTATCCTTGGTCCACAGGGTAAAGCCAACACACACAGTGGTCAACTGCTGGTTCTGCAACCAGGACACGCTGGTGCCCTATGGGAACCGCAACTGCTGGGACTGTCCCCACTGTGAGCAGTACAACGGCTTCCAAGAGGTGCGGGCTGTCGGGGGGGTGGCCAGTGGTGAGACTGGTGCCCCTAGCTGGCCTTGAGCAAGGTGCCCACATACATCACCTCACTGTGTTCTTACTGTGGTCCTGGCACCCTGACTTCATTTGAGGAAGAACAGGTGCAGGGAACTGTGGCCACTTGTCTACAGTCTTACCACAACAGGTGGCAAGTTTGGGATTCCAGTCTATCTAGATCTGTGCAGTTCTGAAGCCTGATTTCTGCAGGAGAACAGACACTAAGTATTCAGCTTTGCAAGTGGCATATTCTTTGTTACAGTTTTGACTACTCACACCACACAGCCACTATAGACTGTGTGTGAGTGAATTAGTGTAGAAGAGACAGCCTGCCGATAAGTCATGACTTACAGACTGGGACAAAACCAGGGTGAGGTGTGTGGGGGTCGGGAAGCTCCCCGAGGCCTACTTGGGAGCATAGGCTAGGTAGCGTCTCAGCACCTAGATCGCTAGGGTTACGTGTAAGGCAGCATCAGAAGGAATATTGCTGCCTGTTTGTGTGATGAAAGCCAGAGTGGGGATATCTGCAATCCTGGAACATCCCTGGGTGGGCCTCTGCCCGGGACACACAGGGAAGCCTATTACTATTGGGAAGGGCCCCACTGATCAGAAGCTCCCCACTCCCTCCTTCCCTCCCTCAGAATGGAGACTACAACAAGCCAATCCCAGCACAGTACATGGAACACCTGAACCATGTGGTGAGCAGTATACCCACGCCCCGTGACCCCACGCAGCCACAGCAGTGGGTCAGCAGCCAGGTCCTGCTGTGCCGCAGGTGCAGCCACCACCAGACCACCAAGATCAAGCAGCTGGCTGCTTTCACACCACGAGAGGAGGTGAGCATGTGGAGGGCCTGGCAGCAGGCTGTCTGTTCACCTCCCCCTGACCCACATTCCAGGATGTAGGCTTCTTCTCATCTGGAGCTGAGCATTTTGCTCTCACTGTGATCTTGTGGTCGCTGGGTGTATTAGTTACTTTTTATTGCTGTGATAAAATGCCATGACCAAAAAGCAACTTATGGAAAAGTTTGTTTTGGCTTACAGTTCCAGAGGGTTAGCTAGAGTCCGTGATGGTTGGGACAGCACGGCACTAGGCAGTAGGAACTGTAAGCTGGCTGATCACCAAGAAGCAGGGAACTAGAAGCGGGATGAGGCTGTAAACTCTTAGAGCCCACCCCCACACACACCACCCAGTGACATAACTTCTCCAGACACCACCACCAACTGAGGACCAAGTGTTCACATACATGATCCTGTGGGGGACATTTCTCATTCAAACCACCACCCTGGGGACACTAGAAACCCAGAGCCTGTAGGCCATATGGGTCTGTCCTGAGCAGAGGAGGTAGAGGCCTCGGGCTCCAGCTGAGGCCATAGTGGATACACTGTGTCCCTCTAGTCTGCTCTTCTCAGCCAGGATCCTGAGAGGGAGAAAGGCAGGTCCCAGCTGAAGCTCAGAGGAGCTTGCTTCCCAGGTCCAGCATAGGAAGGAGAGAGGAGGCCAAGAGGGAGGGCGGACGCAATGACCTGGTAGTTAAAGGTGATGATCTGAGTTAGATCCCTGGGATCCACGTGGTAAGAGGAAACCAATACCTATAAATTGTCGCCTGGCCTCTACTGTGCTGCCACATACATACACTAAATAGATAAAAGTGATTCTTTTAAGTTTTTTACAAAGAGGCTATAGGGAAAGACTGGCATCAGGTGACTTTCCTGAGTGCCCCCATAAGAGACCACAACATAACCATCCCCACTAATGCAGACAGAGACATTGGTGGTGCCTTGCTACATCTCTGAGGGAACTAGGAATAGAACTTGTCTTCGGGGCTATGGTGGAACCCAAAACCCTTTCAGCTCTTACTGAGGCCCAGCCAACCATTCTCTGGTGGTGTCCTTCTGTCTGAATCTAGGAACTCCAGCCTAGAACCAGCTCCTCCTCCATGTCCTGAGCCTGGAGCAGTCGTGCTTCATTACTACTACTGTTCTGTGGGCCACTGCCCTATTTGGCCCTCACTCCCAGTACCCTGCATCACCATTTGCAGTGACCAGGTCAGAGTTGAACTCAAGTCTACCTGGAACATAGACTGCTCAGACAGAGATCCCCTGTCTGCATCTACAGGGTCGATACGATGAGGAGATCGAGGTGTACCGCCACCACCTGGAGCAGATGTACAAGCTGTGCCGCCCATGCCAGGCCGCCGTAGAGTACTACATCAAACACCAGAACCGCCAGCTGCGTGCCCTGCTGCTCAGCCATCAGTTCAGGCGCCGGGAGGCTGACCAGGCTCACGGGCAGGTCTGAGGCAGTGGGGTGTTTGGGAGTTGATCTGTGTGGCAAACCCTCCAAGAACTGGGCCCCAGGGACTGAGGGGAAGGGAAAGCTCAGCATGTTCCTGAGAACTAATCTGTGCCCTGCCCTCTCAGTGTCCTTAACTAGAACAAGTGTTCTCTAGCAGAGTGACTAGGGTGATGATGTGCTGGGTTTGAGTTTGTGTCCATCCCCATCCCATCCCGCCCTCCCCACTCCCCCACCCCCCACCGGTCCCTTCCACTCTCCAGACGTGACAGCCTCATGGTACAGTCAGCACTCTTATTCACAGGTGTGGTAATCAAGCTCAGAGGATGAGACACTTGCATGGGGCTACACACCTGGTACACAGTACTCCAGGGTTCAGACCCAGGAATGTGTGGCAAAAATTAATTCTCTTTTTAGTAATTTTTTATTTCATGTGTATGAATGTTTTACCTGCATGTATGTAAATGCAAGCGCACCTGTGCATGCAGTGCCCTCAGCGTCCAGAATAGGGCATTGGAGCCCCTGGAACTGGAGTTACTGGCAGTTGTTAGCTGCCATATGGGTGCTGGGAACTGAACCTGGGTTCTCTACAGGAGCAGCCAGTGCTCTTAGCTCCTGAGTCGTCTCTCCATCCCCACTACCCCACTAAAATTAACTCTTTTTTTTTTTTTTTTTTTTGGTCTTTTTGAGACAAGGTCTCCCTGTAGCCCCAGCTGGCCTGGAACTCACTATGTAGACCAGGCTGGCCTCGAACGCACAGAGATCCACCTGCCTCTGCCTCCCAAGTACTGGGATTAAAGGCGTGCGCCACCACACCTGGCTACATTAACTCATTTTTATCATAGTACTTAATGGAATATTCTAGTTGCTTTTTTAAAAAATTATGACTGGGTATGGTGGCACACTCCTCTAATTCTAGCCCTCAGGAATCAGAGGCAGGCGGACCTCTGTTAGATCAAGGCCAGCCTGGTTTATATAGCAAGTTCCAGTCCAGGTGGGGCACAGTGAGACTGTCTCAACCAAAAAAAAAAAAATCCTGGTGGGACTATAGCTCAGTGGAGAGGACTTGTCTAGCGTGCAGAAGATAAAGTCAAGAGTAGCAAGTACACTTAGAGGAATGATTCCCAACACAAATTAGACTCTGTAGGCCTTATTTTTTTTCTATAAGGGAGAGGATCTAAATGCCATCAAATTCTATTGAATGAAAATCACAAAAATTCAATTTAAAAAAAGAAAGGCAGGGGGAAGTCATCCCCCACTACAGAGCTTTCTCACCCCGAGTCCGAGAATGGCCTGGGTCTGCTATGTCATTCCCAGTCTGAGTCTGGGCTCTTGGCCACTTGGCCACACTGTCACTACTCACCTGTGTCTGCTCAGTAGGACACAAGGTAGCCTCTGTCCTCAGACTCTTGGCATTTTGTTTTGTTTTATTTGGTTTGTGTTTTAAAGATAGGGTCTCACTTTGTAGCCCTGGCTGACCCAGAACTTGCTATCTAGACTGTGCTGGCCTCGAACTTCCTGCTTCTGCTTCCCAAGCGCTGGGATTGATTAAAGGAACACCTCCACCCGTGGCCAGATCGTAGGTTCTTGTTCTAACTTGTTGGTTCCTAAACTGAGTAACTTACTAGCACCTTTGTCTGATTGAACTTTTGCCAGTTACCTGCACTTTTTCGGAGTTCAAGTTAAAAGCGTAATAGTTTTACATAAAAACTTGACAAAAGCGGTGGTGGTGCATGCCTTTAATCCCAGCACTCGGGAGGCAGAGGTAGGTGGATTTCTGTGAGTTCGAGGCCAGCCTGGGCTCCATAGTGAATCCAGAACAGCTGGGGCTACAGGGAGACCCTGTCTCAAAAAGACCAAAAAAAAAGAAACTTGACAAAATGATTGAAAATTTTGGAAGAATAAAGTCACCACAGTATAGGAAAGGAAGGGTTTCATTTTTCTTTGTTTCTTTTGGGGGTGCGGTAAAGCAGACTGGTCTCACTCTCACAGAGATCACCTGCCTCTGTTACTGGTATTACAGGTGTACGCCCCCACGCCCTGCTAGGAAGGGTTTCTTTTAAAGGAAATGGAGCAGAGCCCCTCCCCACAAAGACCCTTCATTGTGGGTGATAGGATGAAGCAGTGGTGGCCTGAACATTAAGGAATGGGGCATGGGAACAGGACACTGAGTATCAGGTCCCTGGCCAGCTCCCCCACATGGTGGGCACAGGGGTGGTTATCGGTGGCCCTATGGCTCCCTGCTGACCTGCTTTTCCCTCCCTCAGAGTTTCTGCTCCTCAGCAGTGAAGGCCCCAGTCCAGGTCATCCTGCTCCGTGCCCTGGCCTTCCTGGCCTGTGCCTTCCTGCTGTCCACTGCCCTGTATGGCCCCAGCGAACCCTTCACCCCAGGGGCTGCCCTGCCCCCGGCCCTGCCTCCGGGCAGCAATGGCTCGGCTGCCTCAGACAACGGCACTGCTCCTGGGGCTGAGGGCTGGCAGCAGCTGCTCAGCCTGCTGCCTGAACACACAACAGAGAAGCTACACGAGGCCTGGGCCTTTGGGCAGAGCCACCAGACAAGCATTGTAGCAATGGGACTTCTCACCTGCCTGCTGGCCATGCTGCTGGCTGGCCGCCTCAGGTGCGTGTGAGGCCTTGGGTGTGGGTGGGCAATCTGCACACCACGTTGCTGCCAGAGATGGAAACCACGAGGCCTTGCTGGTGCTCTGGGCTGAAGTCCATGTAGTTAGACAAGCCTTTCCCCATTCTCCAGGGGCCAGGAGTCCAGTGAATGATACAGGAGACAGGACTGCAACAAGGAGCAGTAGCCCTGAGCCAGTCTACCACCTGCCCCGAGCTATGAAAGCTCAAGTGAGGGCCCTTGGGCCTTGTGTCCTTCCAAACAATGGCAGGCTGTTAAAGATCTGTGTCCATGTTCCTCGCCTCATAGCAACAAAAGGCAGTTTCCTAACTCAGTAGGCAGTGGGTGTAGAAACACCAACCTGCTTAGAACTGGGCAGCCTGTGAGTTGAAGTACTCAACCCACTGCTCTCACTGGACCCTGTCGTCTGAGCCAGTCCCAGTGTGGGAAGGAGACGGGAAATTGATGTCAGAGCCTGAGGGGTGGGCGTCTTTCCTGTGTCTTGGCACTCACCCACCTTGTCTCCAGCAGGCTCCGAAGGATCGATGCCTTCTCCACGTGTCTCTGGGCCCTGCTGCTGGGGCTGCACCTAGCAGAGCAGTACCTACAGGCCGCCTCGCCCAGCTGGCTGGACACGCTCAAGTTCAGCACCACGTCCCTGTGCTGCCTGGTGGGCTTCACTGCAGCTGTGGCCACAAGGAAAGCAACCAGCCCACGGAGGTTCCGTCCCCGAAGGTCAGAGAAGCAGCAGTGACTGCGGGGGGGAGGACAGACAGACAGGCTCAGGCTTGGCCCCCCGCCTGGAGCAAGCGCCTCTGGATCTTGTCTTTTCTTTCCTGCCCCACTCCCACCACCGTAGCAGAGCCTTGGGTTCATGCTTAGCCCCTCCACACCCCTTTTTTGTCCCAATACCAAGCTGCCCCCAACCTCGGAGCCCCCGTGCCCTGTAGCTGCTCACCACTGCCGCCACCTCTCTGGCCTAAGACCCTTTCACAGCCCCTGGGACCTGAACATGGGCAGCACTCACATGACCTGCCTCTGGCCCATGGCTTCCTGCTAGCTCCAGACACCCCTGCCCTTGCCTCAGCTCTGCCCTGGCTCTGACTCCACGGGCTGTGAGGGTATAGGCCTGAGTCCTGGCATGGGACAGTGACAGTGACTGCCTGCTGAGCCCTTGTCATTTGCCTAGCACAGGACCAGTGCTGCTTAGCACAGTAGCCAGGACTGAAGGAGAGCTGCCACCTCCCTCCTCGAACCTCTTGCTGGTCTGTCCTTTGGCTGGGCTGCTTCCCTGGGTTCATAGAGTTCGGTTTTTGAGCCCAGCCTGGCCTTGACTGCTTTGTGAGCCAAGCCCCCTCCCAAGTACAGTCATGCTGCTCCTTTGTAGTCTGTTTCCTTGGGCAGCCAGGCGGGAAGGGGAAGGGCTCATCCCAAGTTAGTAGCTTGGAACCCAAGGGAATATATAGGCCATCGGTGACACCAGATCATTGTTACCTTGTCCCTCTTTAGCCTTTCACTGGCTTCCTTGAGACAGCCCGTGGAGGGTGCCAAGGCTTCTGCCCTCCATTTCCCTGGGAGCAACTACAGGATCTCCAGGGTCTCAGCCCCCTCTTCCCTCAAGCACAACTGCCCAGGGACTCTATCCCCAAAGAGTGACTCTTACCTTCCCAAGGGTCACTGGCCCAGTGGAAGGACCACAGATCAGGTCCTTGCTAGCTGCATGATTCTGGCCAGTCTCCTGTTGTCTCCTAGCCTTGGTTAACCATCTGAGAGGCGGGTCCCTCTCTGGAGCCCTAGAGTGCTGATGCTGGACATGAAGCAGTACATGGGGACACTCTGGCAGTGAAGATGATGGTCTTGCTAAGGGCTGTGTCTGAGGCCCCAGCAGGAGCATGGAAAACACTGCCTGCGTGGGCCTTCTGGGAGCCCAAGTGGGCTGCATGCTTCCTTCAGGGCTGTGTCCTGCCACTTGTCCATTGGCATAAACCCACTGGAACGGTGACCCAAACTGCACAAAGGCTAGGAAGGGCAAAAGCAGATTACACATGCATGAGGGTTACACCCAGCATGGACCACCAGCTAGTGGGTCTTTGAGAGGTGGCTGGTCAGTGGTACCTGGAGCCTGTAGGGAGCCTGAGAGAGGTGCCTAGGCCCCACCATTGTAAACTTGTTTGGGGGTCTTTAGAGACCACCTTACCCTCTGAACCTCCATAATTGGACAGCAGTTTATGTCCCACTTTTGTGGTGAGCCCAAGAGGTCAGGAGTCTGAAAGATTCCAGCATTGCAGGGTTCAGCTTGTCCTGGCTGGAGGGTGAGGAAGAGCCCCTTTGAGAAGGTGTGGGCGAGGCCACGATTGAGAGGGCTGGTGACCCTGGGGGCACAGCCACCTGAGAGGGCAGGGAAGCTTGTCTTTTTACCCCAAGCAGTAGGTCTGCCAGAAAAGGAGAAGGCAAGCGTCAGGGCTGTTAGCTGCACGGGCTCTCACATGTATGTCGGATCTTCTCCTCAGAGAGGCTGGTAATACGATGCTAATTTCTGCATTCTTGGCATTGGGTAGGGGTAGGATCTCTGTGTGTGTGTGTGTGTGTGTGTATGTATGTATGTATATATTTAATTATTTATGATACACAAGGCCAGCTCTGACCAGCTAGGATCTCCTCCCCCCTTCTGAGCATGTCATTCCTGCCCTCCGATGGGTATAGGGGCATGGCGGAGCAAGGATTCCCGGTCATCTTAGGAGTTTTGTGTTACTTTTTAACACTAATAGTCTGTCCTTTAACGTTTTATTTATTGGAGAAAGCGCCAGTACCTTCTGTGGTCACCCGCAGTAGCCGGGGAAGTGTGGGCATCCTAGTGTGGCTTGTTGACTGGGGACAGCAGGTCAGAGTGGGATCTTCCCAGGAACAGGTGGTCATTCCTGAGAAGTAAAGGAGGCAGACTTGACCATACTTTGCTTTGGTCCCCACACCGGGCCCAGCAGACTCCCCAGTAACCCTTGCTCTGGAGCAAATCACCAGGACAGCCTTCCAAGAACTCCTGGCCAGCCTGCCCGCCCGCCTGCTATGTTCTCTCTGTGCCGCGTGCAAGTCTCACGTGTCTCGTGTAGTAGAATTGTGGAGAATTGTCTAGTGACCCTAATTGCTGTAACCACCACTGGTCATAGACGTCGTGTTTTGAATGTTGTGTTTTCAATAAATGCCTCCCGGGCCCTGCCCATTCCGGTTGGCACCAGGTACCGCGTCTTTTTTCTTTCACCTTTCTTCAGAAGGGCTTCTGTGCCAGGGCTGGAGGGTGGGGGTGGGTTTTGTTGGGGACACTGGCATTGGCACAGGCATCTGGGTGGGGAGCAGGTTTGGGAGCTGATGATGACACCAAATGGCTTGAGGGCACAGGTGCTCCCTGTTTTGCTGCCTTGAGTTTTCCCATATAAATAAACCACTCTTAAACAGCAGTGCTCTTGTTGGAGCTGCCAAGAAGTCCATGAGGCTCCCCTCAGTGTTGGATGAGTCCAAATCACAGCCTCAGCCTGACTGCCCTTCTCACAGTCAGTGCCCCCAGGAGGCAGGCTTGGAGGCTTGGCTCCAGCTCCCTGTCTGAGATGGGTTCGAGCACACAGGCAGTCGGGGACCACTCATCTCAGAAGCCTTGGTACCTTTGCAGGGAGGCACTCTCGGGGACTCTCCGGAGCAGAGCCACTTGAGCCCCTTCTGAGCTCCCACCTCGTGCCTTACCAAGATCCACTCATCTGGTGATTCTACTTCATGTCACAGCAAGAGGGGACAGACCTCCAAAGCCCTCTGTCACAGTGCTGACATTGTCAGTGGCACTGAAATCAGAGTCCCTGGCCTTGGTGGATAAGACACCCAGGTTTAATCCTGGGATGAGCAGGAACTAGGGAAGGGTATGCTGACTTAACTTTTGGTGCTGACCCTAAGAGGTCAGGAGCCTCTGGTCCAGTCTTACTGGGACCCTCTCTGTGCACTCGCCCCATGCTGCTTGCCAATTCCTGGGGGTTGCCTGTTCCAGGGTCACCCTTGGCTCCTGACCATGGCAAGGGTGGACACAGGAGGCCTAGTGCAGAGTCGTACTGCCACCTGCTGGAGGGGCTTGGCCATGCACCTGCTCTGAGGCTAACATTCCCTGCTGTAGCTTCCACAGACACATGGTAGGGCCCAGGGCACACTATCCTCCCACAGAGACTTCGCACATTACATAGTCAAACAAGTGGTGCCCAGGTTCCAGCCTCACCTTGGCTGCCCTTAAAGTGCCTGAATGTGTCCCCCTGGACCATTCGTTGAGGTCCTGCCAAACTCTTTTGTGATCCTGAAATGACAATACAAACCGCAAACATTTTTTTCTTGGTGCCTGAGATTGAACCCAGGGCCTCACACATAACTGGCAAACATTGTGTCACTGAGCTACAGCCATATCCCACCAAATAATCTTTTCTGCCTAAAGATAGGACATTCCCCATAGTCTTAGAGCAAGAAGTAGAGCTTTACGCAGGCTTGCAGGACAGGGTAGGAGACAGTCGGTGCAGCCAAGCCAAGCCCCTCTGCAGATTTCTGCCTTACAGGTCCCATGCTCTCCAAACACCGAGCCCTACCCTTGCTTTAAAAGTTCAGGGTGGCTTCACAGTCCTTTGCGAGAAACCAGTGAGGTCACAGGATTCTCTAGGAATTAACCATCTGACCATATAGTTCCCTTACAAAAATGTGAAAAGTATTTAATCCCAGCACTTGGGAGGCAGAGGCAGGTGGATCTCTGAGTTCAAGGCCAGCCTGGGCTACATAGTGAGTTCCAGGCCAACTGGGGCTACAAAGAGACCCTGTCTCAATAAGACCAAAAAAATGTGAAAAGTAGCTAGGAAGAGAGGTGGTGCAGAGCTTGGCTAGCAGTTACTCCCCCCGCTCCCCCGCCAAGCACTCGGCCGTGACGGCATGCGTACCTTAGCCCCTGCTCACCACTGGGCCTGACCCTGCCAGCCCATCCATCGCCGTTGTCTGCTGGGCTCGTTTGCCCCTTGGGACCGAGGTAAGGCCGGACACCTGAAACTCCTTGCAGATGGCAGACTAATGTATTAACTGCCTCTGTCCCTTTCCCCCTCTGTAATTGGGTGCCTTAATCAGAAGCATGGTTGACATTCTGGCCTGAAGCCATCGGGTCCTGTTGTGTGATTTGTACCATTCTCAAGTTAAAGAGACACTGTCACCTTCTATCTTTCAGTCAGCTTTGTGGTGGTTAATGGGTCTTTTCTAAGTTTGAGTTTAGTGTGTGATCCTTCAGAGGATCCAAGGCCTGGCCTCCTCGCCTTGCACTGCAGGAAGTGCAGCCCAGCTAGGGGACCACCCAGGGTGTCTCTGCGCTCAGCTGCTCCATTGGAAGGCTCTGGATAAGGAACAGGAGGTGGCCATAAGAACCCCACGTCTACTGAGCCTCTTTGATGCCTGGTCTGGGGCTGGGCATGTCTGCTTCAGGGCAAGGGGGCTGTTGTAAGGTTGGCAAGGGTCACAGTGTCACTTTAATGCCGAGACAAGTAGTAGAGGTAGATTGCTGTGAGCCGGAGGGGGTCGGAGGGGGCATGCAAGGTGGGGTGGGTCATGCTGGCACCTCCCAGCCACCCGCTCCTAATGAATGGACGACCGCTTTTTTTTTGCTTCAACTAACGCACGCCTCCTCTGGGACCCCAGCTCAGGCCCACCTCACACCCTGGGAAGGGCAGGGTCCCACTGTGTAGAGGCTCTCTCTAGAACATGCCTGGCTCACTCTTTTCTTCTCTCTGTGCCCCATGGGCTGTTGCAGGTACTTCACGGCAGACTCCACCAGCCTTTTCCCCTCCAGCCCCAGCTTGGCCATGCCTTGCTCGAGCGTCACGGCCGCCCCACCACCCCTGTTCATCCCCACCCCACCTGGCTTCCTGCCTCTCACTAAGCAGCAGCTGTTCAGGTCTCCCCGTCGAATATCGCCCTCCTCGCTACCAGGCCGTCTCAACCGCGCCCTCTCGCTGGGAACCATACCTTCTCTGACCCGGACAGGTAAGACTGCAAGCATCAATGACAGGTGCAGGCTGGGGGCGGCTGGGACCAGCTCTCGTGAGCCAGAGATGGGACAGTACCAGAGTTCTTTGAAAGGCCTGCTGAGGAGATGGGCAAGGCTGGGCTCAGACCCAGATGAACCTACTCGGCAGCCAGTGACCATTCACAGCTTGTTTACCTCCTCCAAAAATGGGCTTGGTAAGAAACCATTCCTCGTGGTGGCTGTGTTGTTCGAGATGATGTTAAACTCTACCGTGCTCAGAAGAGGACTAGAGGTGTCATTCAGTTGGTAGCATGGTTACCTAGCACATAGAAGGCCGTGGGTTCATCCCCAGTATTGCCTAAACTGGCAGTGGAGGTACAAAGTTATCTTCAGTTTGAAATCAACTTGGGCTATGTGAGACCCTCAAAAAAAGTGCTCCAAAGGGTGATGAGCACCCATCAGGTCTCAGTAAGTGATCCTCTGCCATCGCTGTTCTTACTCAAACATGAGTCTGAAGGACAGGGGCTTGCATTTGTTGAGCACTTACTTGCTCTTAGAACCTGGACTACGCCTTGTTCCTATCTTGAGGGACTCTGTCTTACCCTCACTTTTTCCTGTGGAATCTCCTAGGAAGTTGATTGGAGGTCACAGGCTGTTTTAGTTTTTGTTTCCTAACTTGTTTTGTGGAAGAGTGTGTGTATGTGTGTGTGTGTGTGTATGCAGGCACACACGTGCCACGGCATACATGTGGGGGTCAGAGGGACTTGGGGGTCAGACTCAGGCCATGGGGCCTGCCTATAGCCCACTGCACTTCTAACCCACTGAGCCTTCTCGCCAGCCCCACATCCAGTTTTAAATGCACCCGAGCCTGGAGTTGCTCTCGAGACTGTCCTGGGCTGACCCTCTAGGTACCAAGTGAGCTTTATGGCAGAACATGGGGGCATCTTTGTTAACCCAGTTCTTGTAGATGTTGCTAGGCCTGGGATTGTGCAGTCAGGCCCCCACTTAAGCCCCTCTACAACTCCATGAGACCCACTCTGAGTCTTAGGCTCCTTCTGTGACCTGTTTAAGGGCCTTTATCACTAAGAGCTAGATTGGAGCCCAGCATACAGGTTCCAAAACTCAAGCAACATCTCACTCTGCTCTGTGCGAGTGGAGTGTTCCCTGCCAAAGACGGGTCCCTGCAGGAGACAACATTTGAGCTAAGCAGGGACATACATGGATCCGGGCTTGGGGATGTGGAGATGTGAAGATACTCCTGTGTAACCAAATGTGAACCAGGTTGCTGGAAGAGAGTAACTACAGCCTTTCTTCCGCCAGGCTTTGTTCTGTAGAATAAATGTTAGGCTCTGCACAAGGCTAGAGGGTGCGCTGGCAGGCAGCTGTAGTCAGGTGCTGGCGGACCTCCGTGGGCTCTGTGACTGGCAGCTACGGTGAGGGCGCCTTAGAATACCCTGGGCAGGGAAACCTGAAACTGGGAGTTTTTTCTCAAGCTCCCATCAAAAGTTGGGAGCTGACAGGCCTGAGGGAGTCCCCAGCCCTCCCTGTGCAGGACCAGTCCCTACTAGAGCCTTTTATTTGGGGAAGAGTGGTGCAAATTTTAACCTATTGCTTAGTTCTTTAAAAAACAGAACTAAGGCCAGGCATGGTAGCCACGCCTTTAATCCCAGCACTCAGGAGGCAGAGGCAGATGAATCTCTGTGAGTTCGAGGCCGGCTGGTCTACATAGCAAGTTCCAGACCAGTTGGGAAAAAACAGAACCAAACTGAACCTAATGGCACATACCTGTAACCCTAGCATTTAGGAGATGGGAGGGTAAGGGAAAAGAACCTCCAGAGTTCCAGGCTAGCCAGGGCTACTCTTCTGGTCACTTTCTCTTGCTGTGATAAATGATGAAAACACTGACCAGATGGGCATGGTGGCGCACACCTTTAATCCCAGAGGCAGGCGGATCTCTGTGAGTTCAAGGCCAGCCTGGTCTACATAGTGAGTTCCAGGATAGCTGGAGCTACAGGGAGACCCTGTCTCAAAAAGACCAAAAAAAAAAACACTGACCAAAACCAGCTTGAGGAAGAAAGGGCTTATTGGACTATAGCTCACAGTCCATCATCAAGGGAAGCCAAGGCAGGAACTCAGGCAGGAGCCTGGAGGAAGGCTGCTTACTGGCTTGCTCCTCTGGCCTGTGCTCAGTTTGCTTTCTTATATGATTCAGGCCCACTTGTCGAGCGTGGGCTGAGCCCTCCCTTGTCACTCAGCAATCAAGAAAAGGCCCCACAGGCCAGTATAGTGGAGGCAGTTCCTCATTTGAGGGTCCCTGCACCCAGGTATGTCAAGTTGACAACTGAAGCCATACAACACAGCTACCTAGAGAGTTCGAGGCCAGTCTGACTGCGTCTCAAAAAGAAAGCTAGAGGGGGCGAGGGAAAAGAGGGGGGACAAAGCTAGAGCTGGGCATGGTAACACATGCCTTACTCCCAGCACTTGGGAAGCTGAGGTAGACACAAGTTTGAGGCCAGTCTGGGCTGTATGGTGACCATATGTATGTCTGTCTGTCTCCATGTAGATAAGTAAATACAGTGAGTGGTTAGGGTGGTAGGTCACTGGTAGAGCAGGTACGTGGCATGCACAAGGCCCTGATCAGTCCCCATCACGAAAAATAATGATCCCAGTTCACCATCCTGCAAGATGAGAGGCAGTGACCTGCCTTGTCAGGGAGCCATTCCTCTTCCCATGGCCCAAGACTCTGCCAACTGCCAGGGGACCCTCTGTTGGTCTTAGGGACATAAGTGCAGACATTTCTGCCAACTGTGGCAAGTTGGATTCCTGTGGTGTTGTGGTCCCGTAGTTTGGGACTGAGAATAGCTGGTCCCCTAGGGAAAGGATAATGGGGCTCAAAATTACTGAAAAAATGTTGCCTTGCATAGAAATAAGGGTGCAGAATAAGGAAGCCAAGACCGGGCCACCCGCGGACTTCGTGGCCCACTGCAGCCTTTGGTTCCTTTATCTGCAAAGTGGGGCTGTTGCCATATGCCCTGGGTGGCAGTTGGGATCAGCCAAGTGCCTGTTTTTCTTTCTTTTTTTTTTTTTTGATCATTTTTGAGATAGGGTCTCCGTGTAGCCCCAGCTGGCCTGGAACTCACAGAGATCCACCTGCCTCTGCCTCCGGAGTGCTGGGATTACGCATGTGCCACCACACCCGGCTCAAGTGCCTGCTTTTATAAAGCCCATGTGTCAAGGAGGTGGAAATGGGGTGACAGCTGGTCATCTGCAGGCCTGGCAGTGTTCAGTTTCTCTTTCTGCCCAGACTCTGGACACCTATTCAGTGGGAGCCGCCCACCTTCTCGGGGATCTCCACCTGGGGAAGTTTCTCTTTCAGGTAAGTAGAGTGAGAGCTGGCAGAAAGGACTGGAAAACTGTTTTAGGGGGCTGGTGAGGCCCAGGGATTCTACACAAGCAAAGTCAGTAATGAGCTTTGGGGGCCAATGGATTTGTATTCAAATCCCAGCTTTGGGCAAGAGACAAAGACGCACGTGTAGGTTTTCTCTGGTGAGGACTAGGGATGGGGATGTTGAGGTTGGGCGGCATCACTGTGTCCAGATAGGGCTTGAGCTAGCTGACCTCAGGCCAGGTCTGAGTCTGCTTCTACTAGGGCCTGGCTCAGCCCAGGGAGGTCCAAGGGAGAAATAAGGCTCTAGAACCTTCCCCCACCTGCTCAGTTCCTGGTGGGATACTGGCCCCTCCCTCGGGTTCCAGCAGGGTTTCCCACTGTCTCCAGCCTGAGCTTTATCTTTCTTAAGGAAAAACACCCGGTCCAAATAGCAGGTGACAGGCTTGGGTGCATCAGTGCCCCACGTTCTGTGCCACTGCCATTACTGTTCTGTCATCCTCCCTCTCCGCAGATTACTTCTCTTTGCTGTCCGGCAGCCTCTCCTCTCCTCTTCCTTCCCCGGCACCCTCCGTGGCCAGCTCGATAGCCTCCAGCTCGGGCTCCCTGCGCCACCGCAGGCCCCTCATCAGCCCTGCCCGGCTCAACCTGAAAGGGCAGAAGCTCCTGCTGTTCTCACCTCCTGGGGAGTCACCCAGCACCCCCAGCAGCTCGGAAGAACACACATCACCCAATGGCAGCCTCTTCATTGAGCCTCCCAAGCTCCCTCACAGGACTCCCTTTCGGGACACAAAGCCCACTGTGGGTACGTGTAGGCCTGAAGATGCAGTAGATTCCACCTTGGGGGCACCCTTCCCCTGCCACGGGAGCACCTCTGTATGAAAAGGGCACAGAGTAGGGAGGGAGAGACTGGGGCATTCATGTCCTGTGGCCCGCTGGAGACCAGTGCTGATCCCAGCAACCATCGGGTACTGTTTGGGACCATCCATGGTCCCTCTGGAAGTACTAGACTTCCCCAGCATGGCTCCGGTGGCCTCGAACCTTTTAGGACATGTTTCTGCTGGCTGTTTTCATCGTTTCCTGTTGTGATGGACTTGGCAGGGTCCTCATTTTCTGGGACCCATGAGGAGCCTGTTGTGCACATCATGATGTTTCATTTTGTCCACACTCTTTTTTTTTTTAATTAATTGGACTCTGAGTATGGTGCTACACACTTTTAATCCTGGCAGAGGCAGGCAGATCTGTCTACATAGTAAGTTCCAGGCTACCTGGGGCTACAGGGAGACCTTGTCTCAAAAAAAAAAAAACAACTTTTTAACTGGACTCAAACTTGTACCTAGACTTTCTTGGCTCTCCAAGAATGTTGCAAGGTTTGACCACATGGGCTCACTGTTGGTGAGGGAGAGGACAGGGTAGTAGGTTCCCAGGGCCACTCTCCATTCCCCCTCAAGTCTCTCTGATCCTGAGGCTTGCTGGTACCTGTTAGCATTCATTTACTGCATGTGACCTCAGCACAGGGTCCAAACAAGGACCTGGCCTTCTGCCGCCCAGAGGAGTGACTGTCTGGAACAGCCTGCTCGCCTCGTCCCAGGACCTTGTCCCAGAGCTGAAGCAGAGCTACACATGGCTATCCCTGGGGGTTGAGCTGTGAGCACCAACAGGACGCTTGCTCTTTCTGCAGACATGAGGGCAATGCTGGGAAGAGATAACGCCTGCAGCAGCCGCTCCATCAAAAAAGAGGATGACTCATCCCGGTCCTCCACCTGTGTAGTGGACACCACCACCAGAGGGTGCCCAGAGGAGGCTTCTCACTGGAAAGGTCTGTAACCCAGGTGTGGGAGGCTGGGAGATGGGGGATCAAATCCAAAGCTCCTTTTCTGGGGGGTGTAGAGCTTGGGCCTAGAACTGCTGTCTGTGGTAGAGGAAACTTTCTAATGATAATTCTTCACAGAATTCAGCTCCGGTAGCCACACACCCAGGACTCTTGTGCTGACGGCAGATAGTGAAGATAACCAGGAGGACATTGCCCTAGAGAGTCTACAAGTGCCCAGCTCCATGTGGTGCTAGGCCATGGGCCTGGGTGCTCTATAGACTTCATGTCTCGGCCAGAGTGCTGCCAGTTGGGTTGGTCCTGGCTCCTCTGCTTACTAACTAGATAGGGTGTGAGACCAGCAGTGTTTAACCCTAGAGCTGCCCCATGGGTGGGAAGGCAGGGCACAGGTAGCAGCAGAGACAGGCCACCAAATCTGGTTTACCTGGAAAGATGGTCTTTAACTAACTGGGAGCCAATGCTGTCCCTAAATCAAACAGATCTAGGCGAGGTCTCGTGACCTTCAGGCTGACCTTGAACTCAAAGAGCTCCACCTGCCTCTGCCTCCTGAGTGCTGGGATAGAAGGCATGTGCCACCACACCCTGCTCTCACTGACTACTTTTAAGTTTTTGTTTTGAGACAGGGTCTCATATAGCCAGGCTGGCCTTCAACTCACTATGTAGCTGAGAATGACTGAAGTCCTGATCCTCTTGCCTCTACCTCTCAAATGCTGGGGTCATAGAATGTGTCACCATGCCCAGCCAAACCTACTTTTTATCGCTGAGACTTGAACAGGATAGCCCCCCACCAACTCCTGTTTCTTTGTCTGTAACCTGGGTGTCTTGATCACCCCCTCATGGCCCTATGTGGTAACATAGGCTCTGGGAAGATAAACCTTCAGAGAAGCAGGGCTCCAGCCTGTGCCTTCAGGACGGCCCTGAATCCTTCATTTGGGGAGGACTTTGCTGGAGGAAGACTGGGTGTCGGTCTGGCCAGCTAGAGGATGGGGTACCCTGGGGTGGGTCTGATCGCCACCCCTCCTTACCCTCTAGAGGATTGGATGTCAGCTACTGTCTTTCTGACTGGGTATCCTGCTCTTACAGGGCGTGTTGGCCCCTCCCTGGTCCGGGGCCTCCTGGCTGTGAGCTTGGCTGCTAACGCACTCTTCACCTCTGCCTACCTGTACCAGAGCCTCCGCTGACCGCCTTGAGCACCCTCTGGAGGACCTCTGCCTGCTCAGGTCCTCCCCGAGGGGCTCTGCCTCTGCCTTGACATCAGGGCGCTTGACCTCCTAGGTTGAGACCCTGACCTCAGGATACCGGTTCTCCTCACCTGACAGACTACAGCATCAGGCAGGTCTGAGGTCACACTCTTTGCCCACCACCTCAGCTGATACCAGGTTGTGTTTGGTGCTGACACTCTGGCCCCCAAGCCAGGTATCTCTGATAGGCTGCCTGGCCCCCAGGGACACCAGTACTACTATAACGCAGAGGGGCTGCCTAGGCCGCCTCTGCCTACTCCAGCCCATCGAGTCACATCTTCCTACTGTACTCCCGGACTCCAGGGGTCTGCCTTGGAGCCCTGCCATGACTGAAGAATGCCCCTGGATGGTGGTGGACAGGAGCCTGGTCACCTCATCCTCATCCCTGTCTACTCTAGAGAGCAAGCCTCCCTGGCTGGGCATTATCAGTCCATCTTGCCCCTGACTTGGCTCCAGGCAGGGCTGAGCACATAGGGGACCTAGGGCTCTCAGCCAGGCCCTTCAGGACCCATGTTAAGCACCTGACCTCCTGTTTCCCCTGACTGCTGCCATACGTACCAGTTTTATGACTTCTTCTGACCTTCCTAGCAAGCAACCCCATTACCCTGACAACACTAGAGCCCCCCCCATTACCCCATTTATCCAAGTCCCTCTTTCACATCACTAGTCCCTCAGTTCTGGATGAACGGCACAATTCAGAAGAGACTAGACCCCTCCCTATCCCAGGCCCCATTCTCCTTCGGTCCTGAGGCCCTACTGCCCACCCCTTCACCCTGCCGGCACCTGGGTTCTACGTGACCTCTGGCTCCAGGCACCCCAGCTGACCTCCACCACTGCCCTCCCAGGGAAACTGCAGACTTGCTGGGGCACATCCTGCCCCATGTGGAGGAAAAAGGGTCCTTGGCCTGACATTGGCCCTTGTGTGCTGGGGCCAAGTACCTGTAGGACTCAGCCCCAGGCCTTGCCTTCTGGCACATGTGTGTATGTGTATATGTGTGTGTGTTGTACCACTTGGGACTTGTGGGGAGGGGCATGGGGCAGGAGAAAGGGTCTTCACTGTCATTCAGGGATAAAGTTTAATTTTATTTTTCTACACATTTTTGCCAGGTGAGGTATGTGCTATAAAGCAGATGCCTCCAGCCCTCTCTGCTAGGGAGGCTGTTTTCTTAAGCTCTGGGTGCTTTTTAGTACTTTTTTTTAAGATGGGGAAGGAGACCCAACCCCACCTCTATTCCTGGATCTGGGCAGCTGGAGTCAGGGCAGTGTCAGGAGTCCAGCTGCCACTGAGGGCCCAGCGTGGAGGAGGTGGAGGTCTCCATTTGTACAGTGGGTATGTTGTTTTTAAATTTTATTTCTTGCTTAATAAAAACCAAACTGTTCCCCGGTGTCCTTGTCTCCGGCCGCGAGGAAGCTCCCAGGCAGGGGCAGTGCAGCCCACACCGTGTGCCCCCAGAAAGGGCTTTTATTTTTCTTTACAAAAGAGGGGGGATAAAGAAAAACCTTAAAGCAAAAACCATACCAACCTTTGAATTGTGCCAGGCTGTGGGGTTCTTATTCCTGTGCATTTCATCCTGGAGGAAGGGGCCTCTGCAGGGTTGCGGGGGGCTATGGAGAACCCTTGGAACCCTGCCACTTAGAAGTAGTGAGCTGGTGGATGCCGTGTCACACTACTGTATCTGCACCCAGTGGGCCCAGTGACCAACGAGATTCATGTTGCCTGAGCCAGGACACACATGGAAATCATCACCCCACCGACAACCCCCAGCCTCTCAGGCTTCAGGGTAGGAAGGTAATCGGTGTCATTTCTCTTCCTGTGGTTAAGCATCTGTACCAAAAGCAACATAGGGGAGGAAAGGGTTTATTTGGCTTATAGCTCGGCAGTCCATCATTGAGGGATGTCAAGGCAGGAGCTTGTAGGCAGGCCAGCTTGCTAATCCACACAGCATTACCTCTGACCAAGGAACTCTTCACAGCCAAAGAAGTTGGGCAGGAACCATGGAGGATACCCCTGGCAGGCCAGCAGGCAACCAGGCTTATGCTCAGCTAGTACTTAGGAGGTAGAGACAGACGGGAGGACTCAGCGTTGAAGGTCATCTTTGGCTACGTAGTTCCCACCAATGAGACCCTGTTGCAAAAGTAGGGCTGGACATGGTGGCATACGCCTTTAATCCCAGCCCTTGGTAGGTAGAGACAGATGGATCTCTGAGATGGAGGCCAGTCTAGTCTACATAAGTTCTAGACCAGTTGTGGCTACTAGAGAGATCCCCTCTCCAGGAAAAAAGTTGAGAACCTACCCTTTCTCCCTCATTCTCTCCCCTCATCCTACAGTTCACCAGGAAAGAGACCGGGGGCAGGTTTCGTGACTCCTAATCTCTGCACCCCGAGAGCTGAAGCAGGAGGATTACCAGGAGTTCCATGCCTGCCTGGGCTACAGACAGATAAAGGATTGAGGAGGAAGCATCCATGTAGCAGCTCCCCTGGGTACACACTGGGGGTGTACGTGGAGGGCTCGGATAGAGGGTGAGGTGACAAAGTAGCCTGCTGGCAAGGGGCCACCAGTGCTGTGCCCTCAGGACATAGGATGCCATTTGCCTATCAAATGTGAGACATCTGGTGGTGCGGGTGCAAACCTGTAACCCCTCACCCCTTAGTCTCATGTACCACCTATCATGTATGAGCAGGTGCCCAGGACAAGCCAGAGAGAAGTAAAGTCCATTTCAGGTTCCTGCCTTGGCCACTGGGGAAAAGTGACAACTTTCACCTCAGCAGGGAGGAAGCTCTGGAGGATGGAGAAGTGGGATGAGTGACATGGGATTTGAAGGGTCTGCATTGCCTAGTTGAGGACCCAATGAAGCCCCTAAGGAGTGACTAGACATGGGTAGAGGTAGCAGCAGTGGGCACAGAAGAACTCTTAGAGGGTGAGGGGAGAAGGTGTGTTCCTGACACCCACGAAGGGAATGAAACTCAAATAGTTGGTCACTTGCAGTGTGGGAAGTGAGAAAGAAATTGGAAGTTTGGGAAGATGGAAACGTTTCAGCAAAATAGGTGTTGCAGCCCAGCACCTGCAATACCCAGAAGCACAGGGTTATGCCACACCCCGTCCCACCGAAAGGAAAATGAACACTGATCTGTGTCACACTTCACAGCCTCAGCAATCACCCCAGGTCCTCTGAGCATTGTGCTGTGCCTCCTGCACGGCCTCACGTTGCCACCAGGGGGCACTTGGTCCTTCCCTGGAACCCAAACTAGAAAAGCCCAGGGGTGAGGCTGCAGATAGAAAAGGACTGTACTGAGCAGGGGCAGGACCCACCTCAGCCTGTATCCCAGAGGCAGGCTCCAGTCCCAGCCAGTCCAGAAGAGGCGGGAACCTACCCCAGCCAGTGTCCCAGAGGCAGGGACCTATCCCAGCCAGTCCTGAGGAGAGAGCTTCACAGACTGATGCTGGTGCCAAACCAGAGACAAATCTGCATGAGCAGGAGAGCAGAAACTTCCAGGCTGGTGAGATGGTTCAGGGGGTAAGAGTGCTTGCTACCAAGCCTGATGATCTGAGTTCAATCCCCCAATGTGAAAGAGAACTGTCTCCCCAAAGTTGTCCTCCGACTTCCACACAACCACCCTCTACATACACAAGTACATAAATGTAATTTTGGTTTTTAATTTTTTTAATTGCCTTTTTTTCTATTTTTTGTTCTTTTTTGAGACAGGGTCTCCCTGTAGCCCCAGCTGTCCTGGAACTCACTATGTAGACCAGGCTGGCCTTGAACTCACAGAGATCCGCCAGCCTCTGCCTCCCCAGTGCTGGGATTAAAGATGTGCCCCACCACGCCCGGCTTATTTATTTACTTTTTATGTGTCTTGCTGCATGTATGTAAGTGCACCTGTGTCATGTGAAAGCCAGAAGAGGGTGTTGCATCCTCTGGAACTGGAGTTAGGGGCAGTTGTTAGCCACCATGTAGTGTAGCCACCTTGAACCCAGGTCCTCTGCAAGAGCAGCCAGTGCTCTTAACCGCTGAGCCATTACTCCAATCCCATTAAATATAATTTTGTTAAATGCAAAAGCTTCCAACAGACTTAGGTCCCAACATGGCAGAGCCAGTTAGTGTTATGTGAGCTCAGGCATGCAACTGTACACTCTGCTTCTGTCTTCTTACCTGTGAAATGGGTGTAATGCTATCTCTAAAGGCTGGTATATCACTTAGAATAGACAAGAATGAGCCAGACAGGGTAGTGTGCTGGTAACTCCAGCACTTAGGAAGCAGGGGAATCAGCTCAAGAACATCTTTAGACATAGTTCAAGGGCAGCCTGGGCTACATGAAACCCTATCTCCAAAAAAAAAAAAGAGGACTAACGGGTATTAGGGTCTCACTAAGGCTCAGCTGCTGGTCTAAGTGCTTATATATATATATATATATATATATATATAAATTCATTATTTCCTTTTACATGGGGACCAAAAGCCAAGTCTCTTCCCAGAAGGAAAGGCCTGGCCTCCCTTACAGTGTCTGCCTCACCTACTAGCCCTAGTTGCTTCCCCGTGCAGCAGGAGACCATGTCCAAAGACAATAGAGATGAGGGGACATCTCAGGCTGGCTATAGCAAGCCATGCCTAATTCCAGTTGCAGCCCGCCTTGAGAGAAAACAGGTCACTGCAGGATCTCCACCAACTGTACTCCACCTGGCATGTGCATGTGAACCAAACAGCCCCAGAGGCTTGTGGGAAAGGTGCTCCATCAGGAAGTAAAGATGGGGTGGGGGGATGGTGAGTGAAGACACCAGGGTTTCAACCTTGGAGACTGGCTGCACAGCAAGGCCTCCCTGGAAGGAGGAGGCATGGAGGGTGACCAGGATGGGTGGGCCCAGGGAGCTGGCATTTGGGAGGTGCTTGGTTTGAGGGCTCTGCAGAATGTTGGGGGATGTCTGAAGGTTGCTGGAGAGAGAGGTAATGGTCAGTCTGTGGAAGTGGGTGGCAAAGGGGAAGATGAAGGACTTGGAGGAGAGATAGGTGCTGTAGGTCAAGGCTTGGGAGACCCAGGAGAGCAGGGTGGTCCCACTGCTCTCAGGCTTCAGAGCACCCAGGGAAGGTAAAGGCTGGCAGTAGAATGCTGTGGTAAGGGTCTCCAAAACCCTGCTCTATCCTAGAATGGGGGCATGCAGGGTGAGTACACTTTGGGATCCCAGTACACAGGAGCCTGAGTAGGAAACTGTTTTGTTTTGAGATGGTCTACCTGTAGCCCCAGCTGGCCTGGAACTCACTGTGTAGACCAGGCTGGGCTTGATCTCATAGATCTTCTTGCCTCTGCCTCCGGAGTGCTGGGACTAAAGGTGTGTGCCACCATACACGGCTGTTTTCAAGGGTCTTTCATCACTTCAGTCAAACCACCTGCATCCCCCTTTTCCCTGTTGGCGATCTCAGCTTGATTATACCATTGAAGCACGTCCCTGTGAGACGTGCCTAGTTCCAGGCCTACAAGGAAGGAAGATCCTTAAGTCAGTGACGTTCTGAACATGTCCCTCTCTCAGCCCACCAAGAACACGCATTGCTGAGTTTGTTTGGGAGGCTGTGCCCTTGCCTCTGAGTTTCAGATAGGTAGTGTCTCCTTCCTCCCCTAGCAGAGACCAGGGTCCCTGGCTCTCCCAGTGGACACAGTCCAGGAACCAGTCTCCGGCCTGGGTCTCAGCATCTGGCTTTGTTCCCCTGTCTTAGCACTAGCCTCCAAGTTCTGAGTTAGATACAGAAAAGACACCCCTGCCCTGCCCCCATCCACTGCATTCATAGGCCTAGAATGAAAACACACCACAAATAGAAACCCAAATCTGAGAAAAGATCAAGGAGTCCTGATGCCACCATGGGAAAAAGCTGGGCAGCCCTGGCCCAGTTACCGAACTTCTCTGGTCTGTTTGTTCTGGAAACTGGGCAGTTGCTTTACCCTTTGCGTGGGTAGCTGAGATAAGATGTAAAACTCAGGACACAGGTGTGATGTTTGGTCCCAAAATAAAACCCCTCACGGCAGGGTCTTTGCCTCACCCCACAGTCAGACTGCGGCGACCCCCGGACTGCCTTTCCTGTACTGCTGCATTGCAGGGCGCCTACCACAGTCACCTGGGAGCCTCTGTACCCCTGCTCTGGCCGCCACTTCCTGTTTTTCTCCCCAACGAATTTTGCCCCCTAGCTCTTTGATCAAGGGACTGGGGGTGGGAGGCAAAGGTAAAGTCAACCTAGGACGCCTGGGAGTCAACAAGTCTGACTAGAGGGGCAGATTGGCTTCTCGCCACAAGGCTTCCCCAGAGGACTTGCCTGAGCAGCGATTCTCCTTGACCGGAGAACAGACCTAGGGAGGCACCTGCCGAGGCTGAACCTCGTCTCTGATGATACAAGGG